ATGATGTTTTGCAGACTTCTGGTTCCGACTGGTTTATTTCACCCCTCCCTTTCAGCAGTCGGAACCAACATTGTTACTAGGGAAATCCTTAATAAATGCATGGTGGGGGCAGAGCTGTTTCAGAGTGGTTTAGAGAATTGTAACTGAACAGTCTCTGATCACTCTCCTTGCAAGTAAATCATACTAAAATTCTCTGTGTCTTCCTTTGTACAGGTTACTGCATAAAATGTTTGGTGTTTAAACCTAACAAGTGATAATTATAAAATTATTGTGTGGACATATGAAACATTGAAAGAAAGAGGATGTTACATTTCTATGCTGTGAATCAATCAGAAGGGTCATAAACTTTTATGACCTCCAGTCAGAATCACATGGTTGTGTGACTTCCATCCAGCCAGTTGGTCAATTCACACTATCTTGTTACCTGCATCCTCCCAGGTCCGCCTGTTTGATGTTGTAAACTGTTAATAAAAGGTTTTGCTATGAAGGGATCTGTGTGAGAAGGTGCTGGTTGTCCGAGCCAGCATCTTCTCTCCACCCTGCAGACGCTGACGTCACAAAACCCTGTCTCTGTGTTGATCATTTCCTTTTAATCTTTTAAACTCACATTTTTCTGGATTAAAACCCAACATGTGAAGTCAGGGGGAATTTGGTCTTTTGCTTACATCATTAACATTTGATCCTCAAGATTGTCATTGATCTTAGAACCTTCCTACAATAAACCAGGCCCACAGAAGTGAGCATGTAGCCATTTTATTTGTACTAATTTTTAATAATTATTATTTTTATTTATATTGGGTGGAAGAAATCAAAAATATCCCAAAAGAAAAATAACATCACTACTTTCAAAAGAAAAATTCAGACTCCCAAATAAATTTGGAGGTGCTGTTGCAAATGTTCAAATGTTTTCACATATCCCTCCCAAACCATTTGTCTCACACTCAAAAACTTTCTATCAGCTTGCTCTGTTTATATGTACTGTTCATTGCATTGAATTTTGTGCATGACCATATATTCTTTTAGTAGATTAATTTGGGTATTTTGGTTGGTGACCAAGGTTTTAGTTATTGAGCAAGTCAATGATTTTGTGTAAAGGAGTATAATTCCCTCAGGGCCCTGCAAACCTTATCATGTTGAGTTGAAAAAATATTGAAAAAATATATATCGTACCATGAAAACAAACCTTTGAAGCCTAATGGAAATGGCCACCAGCCCAGCTCATCTGATGGACTAACTTTACTCTCTAAGCTATAAGAACACTTAGATTCACTGCATGATCTCAGTATTAAATGTAGAGTTGATGTTTAACCAGTATGATTGCATCTTGATGATCACAATAAGAGCTGGACTTTAACTCTCTGTACAGATATAACTTCCTGCACTCTGAGCATGTTGATGATCACAATCAGAGCTGGACTTTGACTCTTTGTACAAATAGAACTTATTGCACTCTGAGCTTTATTATCTTCCACCATAGAGGAGCTGCAGGACCTCTGCAGGCCACATAGAAACCAGAACATGAAGACTCTGGACCCAGTTTTGTTCTGGATCCAGTTTTCTGTCAGACACAACAGAGACTCAGTAAAAGAAAGACTGGTTAAAAAAATCACACCTCTCCTGAAGTAAAGGTGATCAGTTTGGGATACTGACATGTTTTAATGTGAAATTAAATGAAGCTGTAATGATCTTGCCACTTATGACTGGTTTGATCACTCATTTCACTCACCTTCTTATATCTTCCCAGTTCTCATTGCTGTCAGCATTCAAGCAGTCATTAGGGCCAGATTATTCAAGCCAGTGATGAGAAGTTTTCTAGCATATCTAATTGTTTTAAATTTCCTGATCTAGACCCATTCTGCATCTGCACCTTCTGAGCCTGTCTGTTCCCATTCTGATCTGTTTGCCTGACCTATCTTCGGACTCCTGCTGGATTCTGCCTGTTTACTGAACCTGGAACTTTTCCTGACAACACCCTGAATTTCTTTTTGGTACCATTTCGTATCTCTGATATTCTGGCTCGGACTCCGGAGCACCTCCTTAACACTGGCTTTGGCTTTGCCCTCTGGATTATGCTACCTTCCTTCTTCTCCTTGGATTGGATCTTCTGGCAGTTCTACAGTCTCCAGGGCTTTATTGTCTGCGACTCTCTGGGCAGCATCTGCTGCATCATGTCAGCAGCTTACTGGCTGTAACCGATCTCTCTGGGGAACCGACCTCCCATCCTGAAAGGAGAGAAATACCTTCACGTGAGGTCCTTAGAAGTCAGCTCACAGGTGGACTGCCTTTTTCTGCCATTTAGAACTTCTGATTGCAGTGTATTATCGCAATTTTGCCTGCTGTGAAGCAGAGGAGAAAACTGAGTTTTCGCACTTGGTTGACTCAACTATCCTGCAAGTACCACTGCACTCCACCACTGTGAGGATCCGGCAAACACAGAACGAATTATGGCACATATCATCTGTTGTGCCATATGCCATGATCATACTTTTGGACATTGGGAACCAGTGTCCATATTTAATCTTGACAGGATGACCAGAAGAGAACATGCAGCTTTGGTCAATAACAGCTGGGGGATTGCAAATGGATGAAACTCAAGCTTTCCAAATGGACATGGAAAAAGGTTTGCAGGTCTGGCATGATTAGGGACAGAACCAACAACAGGTCTTTTGATGATGCTCATCATATCACACGTTTACTGCTGAGTAAAGATAACGCTAATTGACGCTAAAGAATGGACTGCATGCTACGCTATGCTTCAGGAATATCTGTTGAGCTGTTGCTTAAGCTTGGACAAGCTTTATTCACTAAGGGTTAAACACTGATATAACACTAGTGTTCATGTGTTCCTCATCTGCTCATTACATTTCAATTACAAAGTATGACCAAGAGCAGTGTTGGGCGTGTTACTTTGAAAAAGTAATTAGTTATAGTTACTAGTTACTTCTCCCAAAAAGTAACTGAGTTACTAACTGAGTTACTCCACAATAAAAGTAGCTAGTTACTAGTAAAAGTAACTATTGCGTTACTTTTGCGTTTCTCAACCCGTAACCCTCACCACCTGGCCCCCACCTTCTCGCCGTGTGTTTCCAAAGCCAGCTGAATAGAGCGGACGACAAAGACAAGAACCTACAGAGAGTTTTGCATTTATTGCAACTCAACGTAAATGACATCAGGGGGGAACGCGATGTGAAGTTTTTTAACAGGGCATTCAGATCTGGTGAGTATATGAAATTAATAACTGGGGACGTCTAATTCTGAAATCCTGTGTGTTTAGGTTGTTATAGATACTGCAACATCTATCTATCCATCTATCTACCTAGATGTATACTCTGTGTGTGACATAAAATATGGATCTCCATCCCTGCCACAAAGGCCATCAAATAATGTTTAAAATAAAAAATACA